AGTTATACTTAATGAAAGTATTTCTAGGCGTTAAATCCTACTTTTTCGGTATACAAGTCCTGCGAGATTTGATTAATGGAAATGTATGGAGTGAGACAGGACATTTTCCACGTGTTACTTATTGTGATTTTGAGGCGAAAAAATTGGGGAAAAATTACAAGTGAGTAGATTTAAATCTATATTTTTATTTAAAAAAAGATAATTTCAGTCTTTATATCAATGTGAATTTCCTAAGCAACGTTAGTTAGAAGGTAAAAGGATAGCTGTTTCGTCCTAGTTTGTGATTCTTTAGTAGTGGTGACCCATTATCCTAACGGAAATTGAACCCAGCACCTTCGTGTTATAAGGATATCCTATTGATCAATCAACCAATGGGTTGGAATTTGATGATCGGTCAGTACCAACCCCTGTCAACTCGTAACTTGTACAGTGAATATTTTTCGAAACAACGTCCATTAAATCGTGGCCTCCTTAAATCACTAGACTGCCTAAATTTCCTGTCTATTAAAATGAATCGTGTTTACCCCGTTTCATGATTGCAGTAGACTGGGTAATGCGACAAACAGAGAGCAACGTGGAAATGGGCATGAAATGGACCCATACAAAAAAACTTGGGGGATCTGGATTTCGCCGATGATATATGTCTGATTTCCCACAAACTGAGTGATATGAAAGTGACAAGCAACAAGTTGGCAAGAGAAGCATCAAAGATAGGTCATCACTGCAGCTGAACATAGAGAAAACAGAGGTGATGAAGATTCCTGGCCAACAGCACTACCAACAATAACAGACAACAATCAACGTAAATGGGGAAATCTGAAAAAACAACCTCCTTTACCTACCTACCTACCTGGGAAGCATTGCTTCAAATACAGGTAGACGGAACTGATGAGGGTATCAAAGCGAAGATCGGGAAATTAAGGCAAACTTTCATTTCTCTCAAGTTTGTGTGGAGGTCAACACTCAGCACTCAGCATGAAAAACAAGATGCGGATTTCCAACTCCAATGTGAAGTCAGTTCTCCTTACTATACGGATCAGAGACTTGGCCAGTGCGTCACGAAGGGCACTTCAAAAAAACTACACACCTTCATCAACATTCGTCTCCCCTCAGAACTTCGCTGAAGATCAGATGGTCGGCCAGAAAAGATAAACAACAGGGATCTCTGGCAATGAATTAACCAACTCAGCAGGAACGACTTTGCAAGAAATATGCAGGAAGAAATGGAGATGGATTTGCTGGCTACACTCTGAGAAAACAAACCATCTAGTGAGTGACATCACATGCCAGGCCATCTCTCAAGTGGCATCCGAATGGGAACGGCTAGTTGGTCATCATTGGAAGCGTGACATGGAGGAGGTAATGTGAAGAGGAAACGAAAGTATGTGGTCAGACGTACAGCCAGATGAAACGTTGGCAGAGAACCAAACGCAATGGAGACGTGCGGCTGAAGCAATATCCTTTTCTAGGAACGAAAGGAAAAGATAATAATAATAACAGCTTTATTCCGTACATTGTTTATACAATGTACAGAATTATCAGTCGAGTTTATTGCATGATATTTTCTCTTCGTATGGCATCTTCAAATATAACATTAACTGACAGGAGATCGCATGAAATGACAGTTCTATCTGACCTAAAGTGCAAACTAATCGATCATTATGATATCTCTTCTATTTCTCCTCCGAGAAATACACGACACACTTTGTTGAATGCCAATCATTTAAAGTTCAGTAGGGCATTTGTGAACCAAGGACACCACTCAGAAATCGTAATCTCGTGTATTGGTATAAGCTGCCACATAGTGTAATGCTTCTTCTCACGTTTAATAGAAATTTACAAATCAGCATGTTGTAAATACTTCAAATACTCACCAGAGTAAGCAAAGCCACTGGAGGTCACATTTTACTAGATTTAAACAAACCGAATAAGAGAAATTATATTTAATATATTGATGGAGGTTTTCAGTAGACCGATATTTAACCTTATGCTGAAGATGTTGTCTAGAAAGACTAGGAAAGCTCTGCTACTAAATCAGTCAGCTCAGAGAATACATCCGAGTCGGTAATTTTTATGCGGTGGATTACTATTGGTTACTACTTCCTATCAGAATTACAGGACTTCCATCCGACCCAATCGCTGAATGGTTAACGACCTGTCCTCATATCCTGAATGCCCTGGCTTCAGTCCCTGAAAGGATCATACTTGCATACTTCTGAAGAGTCCTAAGCAAGGAAAAAACAGGTGATCACTGTCTTACTATAATTCTCTAACTAATATTGGTTCGTATTCCAACGAAACACAAAATCCAACTTCTATGCTTTTTAGGCATTTTCCAGGATATTCACTTTTAACATTCGTCGACTATTAGTTTACTTCACTGTGTTTAGTGTTCAACGAATATCATTTTAAAAACTAATAAACACCACGGTGAAATCCACAGTCAGTCAATTTTACTTCTGATCAGGACCGTCAGCTTAACCTTGACACTAATCAACTGATGAATGGGATTCCAGAAGTTAATGCACTTTCTAACTTTGAATTTAAAACTACAACTGTACCTCTCAGGTTGACTTGTCGGCTTCTTGTGCAGATGCTTCGACGATGTCTGGGCATGTAATTAGAATTTATTTGGTAGATGGTGACTAGCAGTGGAATCGAGGATGCGCATTTCGTCCTATTTAAGACTCGTCAGCCAGATGTCGCACTGGGTTCGAGCCTCGGTGGGAACATCATCACTCAATGGGGGGTGAAGGCACATCGAGATGACGAGTCCCGAATAGGACGAAATGCGCTTCCTGGATTCCACTGCTAGTCACCATCCACCAATTAAATTCCAGCTATACCTCACCTAATTGCTTAATTGTGTGTTAGTGCATGAATTACGATTCTCGAATCTTCTTCTTGGTCAATTATCATTATTAAGATAAGACACTTGAACCCTTAGTTATATTCCTTTATTCCCATAACATGACAGATTCAAATATACTGGAGTAATCTATGTAGTCAACCTGACAATCATCACGTGTGGGGTATTTTGTAGATTACATTGATTTTGTCTCATCTAGTCATCAGTAGACTCCTTTAGCCTGCATAGGTTGTCCCTGAGTGACTACGTCAATTTGATTATTTAGTCTTTTATCATACGTCTTCTTGAAGCTGAAAACGTATATGAATATGAACGTGATAAAAGTCGAAACTTGTTTGATTGAAATAGAGGAGGTATACCTGAACGGTATTCTAAAGCGACTAGTTTGAGTCTTGAGATTGCAGTTTACAAATGTTAAATCCCTGGAATTTGACTGTATTCAAGTAAGGACATATAATGATATCAGTTAGAGAACCAATAAAAACTAGGGATTACTAAAAGGCTGTTTCGTCCCAACTTGAGGCTCTTCACGGCGCGCACATATGACCAGCCTGGAGATCGAATTGAGGACCTCCAGGCTACGAGGAGCGTTTTTTTACCATTCAGCCAGTAGGACAGAATCTAAGGATTCATGATATACAACTCAACCGCAGATCAACGTCCTTGTCTCTACATCCGACATAGTGAACCTCACCTTCCATAACTAATTACTCAAATTCCAGGAAATCCAACCCAAAGTCAGTCACTGGTGAACATTAGACTAATTTTTAAGCTTAATTCTGCAGATATTTGATTTGTTTTGAGTTAAATCGTCAATTGAGATCAGTTGGAGAACCAGTGAAAACCAGGTCCTTTCTTGTACACTACATGAGATCATATACGAACAATTGTGAGCCTCTTCAGTAATCACTGGTTCTCAAAAGTTCAATATTGCTTATGTCACCGGCAAAGTTCAAAAATAGCGTCCCAGGAGATCGAACGGTCAAATGATCTTGAACCCTTGCTAGTCGTTGGTTAAAGGAACTTACGATTATTCTAGCGCGAAAATGAAAGCTGTTCACCCGCTCATATGAAAATTTCACCCTGATCACGTATTTCAATAGTGCCTGGATAATGGATTGATAAGGCGTTCTAGTATATGTAACTGTGGTGCTTCAATGAACCTGCAACGGTATTCCCAGGTCATTGATGGATATTTATTTAGATGTGCAGAGTGTAGGAAACGAACAAGTTTTCTTACTGGTAAGTGACACTCTCAGTTAACTATCTTCTAGGGACTTTCTCTGCTAAATCGAAACTTTCCTTGACGAATATACTGTTTCTATGCCATTACTGGATTTTGAAGTCCGGTGTGAGATCAACTACCGCTCAGACAGAAAATACGTTGACGTCTACTGTGTGGTGGTTCCAATTTTGTCGAGATTTAGCATCACGGAAAATTAACAGTATTACACAAGTGTTGGGCGGAGTCGGTGTTGTCGTTTATGTCAACGAAGCGGTGCTTATAAAGAAGAAATGCAATCGGAGACGTGCTAAAGCAAATAACGTTTGGGTATTGGGAATTTACGACACCCAAATTCGGAAAGGATTTATTGAACTTATTCCAGACAGGAGTGCCGACACTCTTCTGCCTATAATTCAGAGACTCGTTTTGCCAGGCACTACCATTCACACGGATGAATAGGCAGCATGTAACCGATTATCCGATTTAGGATATATACACCACCGAGTTAACCATTCTGATGATTTCGTCGATCCCAGAACCGGTACTCATACTAAATTCAATGGAAGGTTTCTGGGGAAGACTAAAAAATAGAATCAGAGCTATCAACGGATCTCACCTAGATGAATACATGACACTCCCCATTATACTGGGGACATCTTTTTATCTCATATTAGACAAAACATACCCTGTTTAATGTTTTTTGATGTTTTTTTATGTAAATATACGTAAATTTTTGCGGAAAAATCCTTCATTTTTCTGACTGGTCGACTCAAGGTCACTCGTGCGTTCTCATCCTTTGGGACGCTATTGTAGAACTCATCTAATGATCTTATTTGAAATCGGCTACACTAACTTGCACTTTAACTAACGTTTTCTTTCTATCTCAAATTTTAGATATACCCTACAATGTGTACTTCCGCTGAATTTATTCCTCGAAAAAGTCTACATCTTCTTATGGTTTTGGATTGTATTCGTCGGAGTTTTGACCTTCTACAGTCTACTCAAATGGTTATCACGTCTTACTATAGCAAACAGTCGTATTACATTTGTTAGCAAGTTTTTATATTCATGGAGTGAGACAAAAGCCTTAACAGAATTAAATCCTGTCACTTTAAAACTATTTGTACATAATTATTTAAATTTAGACGGAGTATTCCTTCTATGGTTAATATCTATCAATGCCGGGGATCTAATAATCAGTGATTTAATTATCGCTTTATGGAATTTATTTGAAGCTAGACTCCTGGCTATCCAATCAGCATCCTCACTGATGTCGACAAAACCACCAACAATGACTAGTATCACAAAAGATCAGAAGGACACTGCCAATTTATTCTCTCAGCCTGATCCTAATAATGACTGCCCGATTCAACCAAAACTATCATCATCAACATCGCTAAGGCTCAAGCAAACTATTGAATATGATCAACAGATGGCTTTGTTGAAACCATCTCCAGCATACATTCCAACCTATCATCATACCTTGTGTCCACATTCGAAACCATTTTTAGCTCGACATGAGTCACTTGAGCCTACAGTTTATTTCAATGCGGATTTGTTAGCCCATCCAACAAAAACAAGATCATTGCATACATGTTATGGTGGAACACCGTTTGATGAGACACGAGATGTTAATACTTATAACAATAGTAATAATAATAATAACATGTACCGCAGATCCGATTTGTTTGAAAGTTCAGATAGTATTGTATGAATTGCTTATGTCATATTGCATAATTTCTTGTATATACATATTTACATGTGTCTGTAAATAAAACAAATATTATAAATTATTTTAATATATTACGTTGATGTTTCAGTCTGAGAATATTAGATGCTTGGAGGCGATCGGCAGGAAGTTCTCCTTGACCTAGGTTTAGTGCTAGTCGGCACTCACCAATCAGTCAACAAGGCGTATCTGCAACTTTGATAGAACTCATTCCCCCCCCCTCGAGAGATTTGAACCCGCGTCACCAGCCAGTGCTTCAGACAGACAGACAGGTTACCACTGAGCTACTTGGGCTCGCAACTGACCTCCTGTAGGAATGCATTGGATAGTTTGATTAGACCATAGTTACGTCTCTGACCGCAGCATTGGCTGGTGATGCACGTTCGAATCTCTAGGAGAGGGACATTAGTTCAATCAAGTTTGCAGATACGCCTTGCTGATGAGTGCCAACTAGCACGAAACCTAAGTCAAGAAAGGCTTCCTGTTGCCAATTTCCTCCAACTATCAAATAACATCAAATCAATGTGCACTGTGATGTCAAGCTACCTAGAATGGTGACCACATTGCAAACCTGACTAATAGAATTCAATCTGCACCAAAGAAAGAAGTAGATATATCACACTTGTTCAATCAGTGTTAAAACGCTCGTCAACGATGCTTCCAGATCCGGAGGATGTACGCGTAAACTTCGCCAAGTTTACTAACCGGTGAATAAGTTTGACACTGACATTGTGCGCCATGCCCTTAAGTTGAACCTGAATGAGTAACGACTAGTGGGCGTAAGTCCGAGGATGTTGTATGGTGAGAGGGAGATGAGTGACTATGGATAATCGTGGGACCAGCTAAGGAATACCCCAGAGAATGCGATAAAGTAAGGACATGCCGTTGAAGCTGTAATAATAATAGTGTAGTAAGTGAGTCTGAACGTGAGGCTAGTAAACTCATCTCACGAAAAGCTACAACGCTATAGCTACTGGAACTTCATAGCCGGAAGCCCTATTTTCCAGTGAGAACTCAGGGAGTGAAAGAATATTTTTAATACAGGTTTTGAAAGCCTGGTACTTCTTACATTACTGAGGAATTTTCTGCACCAGTATGTACGCAAGATAGCTGCGAAATCATTTGTCTTTCATAGGTAAACACTGCAATAGCTTACGAGTTAAATCCACTCTCGCCGATGCTTGCATCCTAATAAATGCAGAACAGTATAGCCTAAAGGAGGACGTTGGAAATTTAATATATATATTTACTAATTACTGTCATGACAAAGAATATAATGCTGGGGTTTGAGTTCATTCAACCGTTAGTTCGAGGACCAATGTCATCACAGTGAGGAAGACTCAGAAAACTGACTGACTGAGAAGGCTAAGATTTACCGTTCTATGGAAAAATCAAAGTGACCAGAAATTATAACTAATTATGTAGTTACTTTACCTGATCAAATGAATTAGTAGTTTTAGATGTAAAAACCATGTTCTGAATGGATAGAATGCACCTACAATATCCACTATCCTGAAACTCAGTCTACATTAGGGTCAAATGTCTGATTTCAAGACCACATAAATAATGAGTCATAGTATATCTTATTTTGTTCGTTTAGGAGACAATTTGAGGAGACTTGGTGGGCCGCAGTACTCTCTTAGATCCTCAAAGTACCTATTACTCTAATTCCATTTTTGATAGTAGCTTACCGTCTTACGCACACCTGCCACAAATGAGGAAAACAAAGATGAGGTTATTAACAAATCTATAAGCAGGTGTTTGAGGAGAAGCACATACTTGTGAATAAAGTAAATTTAAGCATATTTTTCAAAAAGATAGTTTATCGATCTAACCAAAAGCAAAACGGTCCGGGTCATGATGGTTCGTGAGGTAACATAATCCTCTGAAATCCACTGACATGAATTTGGCGTCATAAGTGGTTTCACCAATTAGTTTCAAACTGTATTAGATGGTTGGAAGCAATCACCAGGAAGCCTTGCTCGACCTAGGTTTCGTGCTATTTGGCACTCACCAGTCAGCAAGGCGTATCTGAGATTTGAACCCGTGTCATCCAGTGCTGCAGTCGAGCTATTCGGGGTAACGATTGACCTCCTGTAGGACTGTATTGGATATTTCTGATTGAGCACTAGTCAATAATTAGTGCGATATGTCTAGTTCTCTCTTCTGCGCACCAAAGAAAGAAGTAGACACATCACACTAGATACTAGTGTCCATTCAAAGTAAATAGTTACTCTTTTAACACTAAATAATTGTCTCCCTGCATCATCTTTGAAATTATTTCCCTATAATTTCCATCTACAACTTGAAATCATAATAAAAAGTATGTTTAGACTCCATTTTGTAACATATAGTTAATGCATTTAGGATGTACGCAATTAAAGAGAATCCACGAAGTAAAATGAGCTCGTATTATCCTGCAAACGTGTTCTTTCTTACTTTATTCAGAAGAAAACTTGATGAACACTCTAGATTTCAAGGCGTTAATCATCTAACTTTAACAGTCAGTGACAAGAAAGTAGAATTTACGTTAAGTGGTAGCCAGAACCTCCGAATCTCAGTTTTAGTGCCTACGGGTACTCGTGAGCGAAACGTATATGCAGTCTAGAAGGATCAGTCAAACCTTATTCACCCAATACGGCAATCACAGACACTATCATTGAGCTATTCGGACTGACGACTAATTTCCATTGGGATTTTAACTGATATATTGATCGGTCAAAGAAAAATAACCTAGTGCCACGTTTCGCGACCTTAGAGCTGACTAGGCTCTGTCAACGAAGTTTTCAGTGTAGTCACTAAGTTAAGAAGCTGCAGCATTGCAGTTCATTTTGAACTGGTGGTAGTTGCTTGCAGACAAACAGCAAGAAGCCATGGAAGTGTTTTTCATTGATAAATCTCACTGGGTACCATGGACTAGACTCATAACATTGACAACGTCCTAGTGATCAGTCAAAAACAGCGTGTATTTCACTATCTATTCATTATCTGCGCATACTTTTTCAAGTATCCACATAATACATATACATCTATCAAGTTTTCAGCTGATGAAGTAGCTGATGATGATGTTACTAGTTAAGGTTTCCCGACTGGAATAATAAACAGAATCTTAGCCTTGTACCAATTTCTGACCGATGCACTCATCAACTTTGCTTAACTGGTAGTAAGCTCGGTGGAGAGAGAAAGCTATGCGTGAAGTTCGTAACCCCAACCACAAAAAAAGCACAACTGTTATTGAAACGGCAAAGATCAAGGTTGAAACTCTGTGATCTAATGGGAACGCAAAGAAATTAGAGGGAGAGGGAGATTCCTGCATCCTGCACTCGTTCAGCAGTCTGTGATTTAAGTGTTCAGTGAAAATAGCTATCCACTATTTTGAGTTGGCAGACTGTTACTGACGTAATGCATGATTAGTGAGAGAGAATTTCATATTAGTTTGTTTATTAGATATATCACACAGTGAAACAGTATTATTTACTGGATGACACAGTTTCGAACAAAATTTTTTCTTGATAATCATATCAACTGTAATCACACGACTTTGACACTTGAGTTTAATAGTTTTCTTTGTTCTCTCCTATTTGTCATCGTAGGGGAGCAGAATTTTCCATATATCGGGGACAGGTGATGAATCATTCCTATTACATGTATTTGCAGTTGATTCAATAAACAAAGCTTCTGTTATCAATCTCTCCCTATACCCTGTGACATTACATTTTAAAACTGTCATCCTATCCCATCCTATTGTATGGTTGTGTGTGATTGCATGTAGTGCTATAGCTGAACTATTCTCTAGATTTCTTATTTTATTCGGGTCAACCAATCTAGATTTTGCTAAGTTTTTATGTTCAACTAGTCTGACTGCCCCTGTTCTACTAGTTTGACCTATGTATTTGATCTGACAATCATTGCAGGCGGGGTATTAGATAAACTAAACTGTTTTGTTTTAAAGGCTCTACAGGATCCTTTAACCGACAACGTCATCCAGTAAATAATACTGTTTCATTGTGTGATTTATCTAATAAACAAACTAATATGGAATTACTTACTACCACAGTGCTCAAGCTTTAAACATATAGTGAAACAGAAATTAAAATAATGGAGAGTCATCAGTCAGTACTAAATTAGATCGATGACTGCCTACCAACTGAAAGATATTTCAGATAGTCCGACTTCAAACTGCCAGTCTGTTCCATCCCTTCGGAATCAATGTGATTAGAAATGAAACAAGAAGATCAAGATGAGTAGCTAGTGTGATGATAAATGAGCAGTCACGTATCATTCATTCATTAAGACAGCTGCCTAATACCTCCGGGGACAATCTACGGACATCATCAATATCTTAAATAATATGCATATATGAGGTAAGCACATTTACAATTATTCAGTTACGCAAAATACATCATACGACAAGGCTACGGAATAATACCAATAAGGTCACTTTATACAGGTAGGAGCAGTGTACATGACATAATACTAGTCATAATTTGTCCTTGTTTAAATCTAACTAAAATGCGCGTAATAATTGAAAGTTGCGTTACAATTGGTAGGTACGGTAGGCTATCCATAAAATGATAAATTAGTCCTGTTCAAACATTAGTTAGCCTACCGATAACGGTGTTTACCGCAAGGGATTCATCATAACACACTGAGTGTCTAGTTATACGTACAAAGAAGTATTATTACATCATCAATAGCAAATACCAACAGGTAATTTTCAGTGAACACGCGATTAGCAGCCAGAATACTGGTGAACTAACTAATCCGTATTATAGTATGACGAATTAATGCCAAAGGAGCTAAAAGTTGTCGTTCTACGAGTCAATGAGAACTGAAATGCACGATATATCCACTCAGAATTCACCTGAACAAGTCATATCCATGTGTATACAGCCCCTTTCTTTACCATAGCCAACTATATAATATGTATTAGTTCTTAAAAAACGATCATTTCCCCTCCCTTTGTAACAACCTTTTGACTTTGT